CGTCTCTCCAGCCTGCAGTCCAGGATCGGGTTTCTCAGGGAGTCTCTGAGGTTCTGTGGTTCTGTGGAGGAGGGAAGCGGATCATGTTTCAGTCTCTCCTCTGTCTGCCTCCCCCTCCTCCTCCCCCTCCTCCCCCATGGACCTGGAGACAGAGTGGCTGAGCCGAGGAGGAAAACATGCAATCCAGCCTCCTCCTTCTCCTCCTCCTCCTGCTGCTGATAAATAAAAGCAGCCCGGCTCTCAGAATCTGGTTCTTCGGATGAAGAGTCCAGTAACCTAATCAGAGGATTCTGGTTCTGTTCACTGGGTTTTATCTGAGGTGTCCTTTTAACGGGTCTCAGTCCAGAACCGTTAGAACTGCTTCCTCCTGCTGCTGCAGGGTGGTTCTGGTTGGTCCATTACTCCATAGCATGTTTAACTAGACTGGTTCTGGTGGACCTCTGTATCGGATCAGCATTCAGAGAGCTGAGCTCTTCTCATCTGGACCGTTTGTTCTACAGAACCTGGTTCTGTTCTGTTAAAGAAGGCGGTTCTATCTGAGTGAGAAAGGTTCTGGTTCCAGATGAGCCTCCCCCCCCCGCCTGCTGTGTCCTCCTGCGGCCCGGTATCGGTTGAAGGTCGACCCGGTGTCTCCGTGGCTCCAGTCTGTCTTGGGTCGGTATCGATCTCTGCTGGAAATACGCCCAGCCCCTCCCCTACCCGCTCACAGCGGCTGCAGCGGTTCTGATCCGCTCTGTGGGCAGATAAAGGCTGTGAGGAGCGGTCAGAACCTCAGAAGGAGTTCTGGACGTATAACGGACCGGGTTCTGGTCTGGTTGTTGGATCTGAACAGCTGCTGCAGAGAGTGGCGTTCAAAGCTCAGATTGTTGTGAAATGGCAGCTGGTGTTTCAGAGAGCGTTCGCTAACAGCAGCTGCTGGTGTGTTGCTCAGAACCCAGCTCAGAACCTAACCCTGCAGAACCTGGGCCTGCAGAACCTGGCCCTGCAGAACCTGGACTCACAGAACCTGGGCCTGCAGAACCTAACCCTGCAGAACCTGGACTCACAGAACCTGGGCCTGCAGAACCTAACCCTGCAGATCCTGGCCCTGCAGAACCTGGACTCACAGAACCTAACCCTGCAGAACCTCAGGCTGCAGAACCTGGCCCTGCAGAACCTCAGCCTGCAGAACCTAACCCTGCAGAACCTGGACTCACAGAACCTCAG